TAGAGACATTGGACTGTGATATAAACCCGCCCCTAAACAGGAACATTCAGTAGATGTTTGTTTAGAAGGGTTTTGGTTGTAGGAGAAAAAGAACTGCTTCTTTTAAGTAAATAGTATCTGACTGCTCATTTTCTGAATTGCCATGGTTATCTCTGAAGTGTCTGCATGATGTTCAGGCACGCTGCAAGAACAGGACCACCGTTTCTTGTGACTCCTCCTTGACCCAAAGGAAGCAAGAGGGTTGATTTGCTTTAAGTATAAAACTATTTGACTAAAGTGATTCATACAAACTGGCAGAGCTCTAGTTGCAGCCAGAATGAAAATTGTGGCCAGTGTAGCAGTGGACAGGTACCCCTCTAGAAGACTTACTGTTTTGTCTGCCACATAATAATAATAATAATAATAATATGAACTATTTATTTCTGCATTTGTTTGTTTGTTTATTTATTTGGCAGTGCCAAGGTGCCTACGAAGGAGTGATAGAGTGACATCACATGACGTGGTCACAGTAGAAGTGGTTTTGGAGGAGTTTGACCAGACACTGAAAGAAAAGCGGCCAATGAGTGCTCAGCATGTGCGGGAACTCCTTCAGGACCACTGGGAAAGCATCCCAGGAGGCCACCTCATGGAACCGGCGTAGGGGAGACAATAGGGTCAGCCAGTCCCTGGAGTAATTGGGGTTAAGGGCCTTGCTCAAGGGCACAGTCGTGAAATCACTCTGCCGACCCAGGGATTTGAACCAGCAACCTTCTCAGTCCCATCTCACAGAGCTGCCCCCACCTCCCCTAACAAATATATTTTTGGTCAATACATAATTCCATATATGATATTTTATATATTTTGATGTCTTTAAAATTATTCTAAAATGTAGAGAATAGTACAAATAAACATTTCTATGGGTAGGTGTGTCCACACTTTTAATTGGTATTGTATATTACCAGTCCCAGTGAACCTCTCCTAGGAAACAGGGCAGGTACCCAGGGGTTTGGGGTCTATTTGGTCCCTACCAATGTTGCAACCAAACCTATGCCTTTGCTCACCCCTATCTATTCATCTAATCAAATTTTCTGCCTAACAGGAAAATTATAAAGACTGCTTCCTAACCACACAAGTAATTTCAGCAGAGAACTGAAGGTTTCAAATGGAGATTAAAAGTACATACACCATACATCAGCCATATCATTAAAACCCCCTGCATAATATTGTGTAGGCCCCTCTTGTGCTGCCAAAACAGCTCTGATCTGTCAAGGCATGGACTCCACAAGACCTCTGAAGGTGTCCTGTGGTGTTTGGCACCAAGATGCTAACAGCAGATCCTGCTGAAGGTCGCAAGGACTTGTTAGTCCAGCACATCCCACAGATGCTCGATCAAACCATTCATGAACATTGTTGACATTATCCTGCTAAAAAAGGGTCCTGCTGTCGAGGGATATTGTTGCCATGAAGAGGCGTACTTGGTCTGCAACAATGTTTAGGTAGGTGATACATGCCAAAGTGACATCCACATGAATGCCAGAAACCAAGGTTTCTCAGCAGAACATTGCCCAGAGCATCACACTGCCCCTGCCAGCCTGCCATCTTCCCATAATCTATCCTGGTGCCATCTCCTCCCCAGGTAAACGACGTACACACACCTGGTCATCCACATTATATAACATAAAATGTCATTCATAAGACCAGGCCACCTTCTCCCATTGCTCCATGGTCCAGTTCTGATGGTCACATGCCCATTGTTGGCACTTTTGGTGGAGGACAGGGGTCAGCATGGACCCTCTGACCAGTCTGCAGCTACGCAGCCTCATACACAGCAAGCTGCAATGCATTGTGTGCTCTGACACCTTTATATTGTAGTCAGTATTAACTTCTTCAGCAATTTGTGCTACAGTAGCTCTCCTGTGGTATCGGACCAGACAGGCTAGCCCTCACTCCCCAGATGCATCAATGAACCTTGGACCACTTCTGGTAGGTACTGACCACTGCATACTGGAAACACCCCACAATACCTGCCGTTTTGGAGATATTCTGACCCAGTCATCTAGCCATCACAATTTGGCCCTTGTCAGAGTCGCTTAGATCCTTACATTTGACTATTTTTCTTGCTTTCAACACATCAACTTCAAGTACTGCCTGTTCCCTTACTTTATGACACCTTGACAGGTGCCATTGTAACAAGCTAATCAAATGTTATTAACTTCATCTGTCCATGGTTTTGATGTTATGGCTGAACAGTGTATGCATTTTGCATGCATTTTGCAATCCATCAGATGCATCTCTGCAGATGTAAAACAATTGCATGCTAGTTGTCAATAACTGTTACTGTACACCCTTGTGCAAATTAATTGAAAAAAGTAGTCATTTTTTTAGAATCTGATTTTCAGTTTCATTGCGGAAAGCCAACAATATCCTTTCATTAGTCACGTTTTCAATGGGCTGTAGTTACATCACCATATATGTATGAAATTTCATCGTTACATTTCCTGACGGGGCAGCCATCTTTCAGCATGATGTAGCCTGTGCCTTATGTCAAAAATGGAGAGATAATTAAGGTACCTGACTCTAGAATGGTCCAGACCTATATACTAAAGATGTATCAGTTCAGAAACCGAGTTCAAAGACCACGATATAAACGTTTACCATCTCATATAGTGGTTCGAGAAGACGCATGCGCAATACCCCCCAACCCAATCCCAAGTGTGCATCCTGGTGAGCTCCCATTATTTCCCATTTTCATTTCACAATTAACACTATAACACATGTAAGTCACGAAATTATTATTCTATTTAAAGTTCGGGGAAGCTGTATATTTTGTAAATATTACACATTACATCGATCTGGCCACGGTGGGTCTGGCCCACCCAATAATAAGGCTGGCTAACGGGGGAAGAGAAAGAAAATGTATTATTATTATGTGAAAATGCTTTGTTTTTGCGGTTCTATGTGACTTCGGACTTGTTTTATGTACAGTCGATTACAAATATTTGTACACGGAAAAAAATGTTAAAATATTTACATTTATCGATTACACAAAATACTTTTTTACCCCAATGTAAATAATTTATTCAGTTTAACCTGTAAAAAAGGTTCAACGATAAACATAAATAAGAGAGTTACATTTAAACTAATAATTTTAAACTATTGGAATGAGACGAAACACTTTGAACAAACAACAGTTTTTATGGTTTTTCAGTGTAGTCGCGCGTTACCGTTTTTTGGGCTTGTTTCTAACTTGTTCCTGTTCTCTCTCTTGTCTGTCTCCACACTAGACCTGTTTAATAAAGCGATACGGTCGAGTTTGCCCTGTTTCAGGATCCCGTTCATTTAATTTTTTCACTGTTGTTTTCTCATTCACCCACCCCACCTCACCCCCAAAAAGACAAAAAAATGAGGTATGAACCGAACCGTGGATTTGGAGAATCGTCGCACCCATGCTATGTATACAAATGCGAGCATGATGTGCATATAATTATTGCTGTAATGACTGTGGGCAGGCCTGATTGATTATAAGCAGTTAGTATATATTAATATAATAATTCAGTTCATGATATATCTCACCTTAATCCAAACTCACTCATACCACACCGTGTATGCCGCTGCCTAGATGTTTATATTTCTATTTACTTATCACGCATGTATATATTGTACAGCAGTTTATAGGAATTTTGCACTATTTTACACTTTCGGATTGCATGCCAAACTCCATTTCGTTCTCGAAGTACTTGGCGCAATGACAACTAAACTGAATGTGATCTAAGATAATCGCTAATCTTCCGTTAAGGAAGTACACTTTTCTAAAAAAAAGGCAAACAGCGCCCTCCTGTGTACAACAGAAGAACATTCAAGTGTAATTGAATGACTCTTATGTCTGTTTTAAACCTGCAGTAATTTTGTTACATGTCTACATACACACGCTGTGATCCATCTATACATCCATCTTCCAACCTGACAGGGTCGGGGGGGGGGGGGGGGGGGGGGGGGGGGGGGGGGGGGGGCTGGGGTACACCCCCCGGGACGATGACACATTGTTATACCCTCTTAAACTTCGCCTGTTATTAGAAGTTAATGATTTACTGTTTATTGCAGTGTTTCCCAAGCCGGTATTCAGGGACCCACAGACAGTCCACTTTTTTGCTCCTACTGGAACCTGGGAGGGAGCAAATATGTGGACCATCTGTGGGTCCTTAAGGACCGGATTGGGAAAGACTGGTATATATAAAGAAATTATGAGGTGAGAATGAAACCAGTTAACACAAGCAAGGCTCAGCACCATGGTGAATTTTGATAGACATTCTAAGCAAAATATATATTTTTCCATAAGCATTGTATTTAAAAATGTAGCCTATTTAGTTTTTTTTCCTAGATCAAAACATTTTGTCACAGAAAAGTCTTGCCATTGACACGTTTGTCTGTATATGAGCAGGTATACAAGCTCTCAGCCTTATTTTTGAACCGGTAGATATGCTGCAAATGTTGTCCTGCCTGAACCCCCAAGGTCACTGTTTGGTCTGCTTCTTCTCTGGTGCCTTAGCATTGTGACAAACATGGTAGCCTGTCTCACAGATACAACGGGTTGTTTTTCTCCTAAGGAAATGTTTCTATACCTATATTGAGTGAACTTTTGCTGTTCGCTAACTGGGCTAGCTCATGGGCGTAAATTATTGGGGGGTTGTAGCCCCCCCAATAAATCAAAACCAGCTAATACAGCCCCCCCAATAATCATGTTTCCCCCGTAATGGGTGGAGACCTCAACCCCCACAATGTTCCAGCCAAAGTTACGCCCTTGGGCTAGCTAACTGGACCGGTTCAGTAAAAAAATGCAGTCTGTCGTGCAATTTTTTACTAGCCAGCAGGCTAATATTCTCATTTCTGTACTTGCACTTTGACTGAATGACAGCCCTGCCTGTACCTGTTAATAGCAGACACTCTGTGGCAAACAGAAAGATGCATGTGTTTTTTACACTTATTAGGCAAGCAGCTGGTGAAAACAGATCGATGGGCTTTACCTGTGCAAAAGCAGGGCCTGGAACTTGTAAGAGAGCTGAAACGGGAGCAGAAACTGGAATCAAAGCTGGAATGGAAACTGGATCAGACGCTGGGCTGGGAGTTGCAGGAGGGTCCTTTTCAGTCTGCTTTGGGGTCTTTAATTCAGGGCCCACAGAGTCCATTATTGATTCATAAACATTCTCAGTGTTCTGCCATAAATCAGACCGTTGGCTGTCCTCTGCTGGCGATTCTGTCTGCTTCTCATGTCCTTTCTGCTCAGCATCTTTACAAATGGTTGGATCTGGCAGATTTGCCTGTATGAATCTTACAACTGGGTCTGCTGGGTTGAAACTGGGCACCCGGGGCTTTAGGGGAAGATTCCGACAGTCATCTGCCGCTGGCTGGGAGCCGGGTAAAACATCCAGGGTGAAACTATGTCTCTTCGTGTGCTGCAGACTGTCTTTAGAGGAGATTGCGGCTCCTCTCTCACTGACCCTGGGGTCTTTAAGACTGCGTGCTAAGTCATGGATATCTTGGGGGATGCCAAACGTTGACATGCGTATCTCGGGTTTCACGCCGGAGTCTGTAGACGGGTGTACTCGCATACTGACGTCATTAAGCTTCCACTCAAGCCCATCCGCATGCATCTTCTTTTCCTCCTGGGTTACCCGGCCAGCAAAGGGGGTACTGTCCAGTGGTGATGGAAGGCTGGAGGGGATCTCCTTGACATACTGGGCTGGGACATAGAAGGGTTTGGTGTTCTTGTCCTTGCAAACCTGCCACCAGTGGTTGCTGGTTTTGCAAAGTAAGATGTATCGCTCGTTTGGCCTGATGGATACTACCGTGCCATCTCTGGCTGTATATTCATACTCATATTCCACCAGCACCAGTTCCTGGCTGGATGTAGTGGACATTTTGCCCACTATGATATTGCCTTGAAACAATCACGGCTTCAGACACGTCATAGCTGTAAATTAAAGAGGAAAAACAACGTGAGAAGCTGCCCTGTGCCAAAAAATAGCTATGTTCCTTCCCTAATCACACTTTAAATGCTGTGTTTATAACGTTAGAATCCACTCAACCGGCTAAAGAAAATAACTTGCAGTGACCCTATATGGCAGATAGATGGCCCTGTTTAGCTTGGAATTTCTGACTTATGGCAATTTGTCATCCATGAGCCCAGTAAAATGACTGTCCTGTACTGCTGGTGACTTCTGCACCTTCTCCTTTATGCCTGATTAATTTGTTACATTGTCATTACTGAGTATCATGAAATGCTTGTTGACAGGGTTACAGTGACATAATATTATTAAAATGATTAATGAGCAAACCAATCAAGCTCTTCCATTCCTCGGCAATTCCATGTCAACTCTGTAAAACCACCAATGAATCTCAATACCGAGAACTGAATTAACTCAACATCTGTTGAAATGCGTAGTTAGTAAGATGCATCTATTCAGACGTGCTTCAGAGTTATGCAGTATGTCAAGACCACCTATGATCTACTTAACTGGCACTTGCGCCATTTCAGTGATTCCCCAGAACTGATTTGTGTGTTTCTCAGCTAAGTCTGGCCTTCTTATGTCTGGGTCGGTTTTATGTGTGTGTATGTCGGCTGTGGCAGGAAGCAACACAGCCTCATAGGCCACTGCACAAGCAAGCGCGGAAAAGACGGGAGGCTCAAAAAATAAAGAAAAACCCAGGGCACAGGAAGCCCCTGTCAATTCTGAGGTGAACATCGCTTCTGTCTCACCCTGTAATCTCAGTTCTCCATATATGGCCTTCTGCAAGAGAAGAACATGGCAGATAGACATCTCAGCCAATAGGCAAGGCTCTGTTATGATTTTGCAACAAACCTTCACCAAGAGCATAATATTAGCATAACGCTAGCGCGGTGTAAGCTTATATTACGAACATTTGGGTTTTGACTTTGAGACTAAACTGGGCCCCTTTCGTCATGGATTTCATGCCATGCCATATGGTTATGTTTCAATGGATGAACATTGATTTTAAAAATGAAAATGCCGTTACACATATAAATGTGCTATATGTACATATCTCATCCTCTTTTCCATCATTTATTGTTTTTCTCCTCCTGCCAAAACAGCCTGTGAACGACTGATTTCAGTAAAGACCGGGGAGCTCATCGCATTAAGGATAATAAAAGATGGAACTGTTTGATTCTGTTCGAAGAAGAGCAGCTGGAAATGTAAAACTGTGGTGAAGGGGCCATGCTGAGCTGATACGTCTGCTGCAGTTTGTCAGTTAAAGATGATATCAAGGGAACTTTCCTCAGGTACCAATGCAATGAACATAGTCAAAATAGACCCAGGTCTTTTTCCCACAGCTGGACAAAACTGTACTTCTCATGCGATGAAACATCAGTATTCAAATATCATTCCAATATAACCCTTCCAGAAAATGCCACACCTGCTACAAGCTTAAATAGGTCTCATTTAAGTCAGTTTTAGTTTTTTTAACTCCAAGTTGAAAATCAGCAAAGTGAGGGCCATGATTCGTCTCACACTATTTGGATATAGAAAACACTTTTCCCTCCTCTTTTGAACTTTTAATCTTTGCTGTCTGTTTTCCTGACAGGACATCCGTGATTAGAAACGGGTTGTGATTGCACTCTAAGGCTTCCATCTGTCGAAGCCTTGAAAAAGCACTCTGAACAAATCGTACCACAGCAAGGGAAACTGAGTTTTCTTTTAACACTGAACATCAGTTTAGTCCCTGTGAAATCAGTAACCCAGCTGCAAGAAATCAGATGTCTGATTAAGCAGAGTATACTTTTGTATTTTTAAATTTAAATTCTTACAATTCAATCAGAATGTGAGCAAGACAACCCATTTTAATGGAAACATAACAATTTAATAATTATCTGAAACTGAATTACAGAATAGTGTCAACATATAATAGGTCCACAATTTGTTCTCTTTTCATGACTTCTCTTTTTTCCCCTCTAATTTATACCCACAGTCTTTCAGTCATTCCATTTTTTTAATCATGGCATCCTTCTGGTCTGACAAAATACAGGGTGGTTTGACAGACATCAAGAGGCCTGGTCACTGCTTTTCTGTATCTGTCAAAGAATCTGTCCTAAACCTCAATATAACTGACAGTACCAGTTTCACAAGGCTTGCCACAGATGGTAGATGAGAACAGTGGTGTGTTATGGAGCTAAATGTCTGCCTTTCAAATCCAGCAGAGGGACCATAGTCACAGAATGTCAACAGCAACGCTGCAGATCACATCCATCACAGCTGCGCTCCTTCTGAAAAGCCCCCCCATAATCACTCTTTAGTATATCGCTTGTCTGTTTGGGACAATAGTGCTGTCAATTGAACCTTTGCTATACTGCAAGGAATGCGTGTAATTATAAACATAACATATTCAGCAAATCCAACAGACAACAAATGTGAGAGAAAGAGTAAAGTAAATAGCTACCTGGAGAACAGAGGAGGTAAATAGGAGGTACATGGAGCAACCGGAGTAGTGTGTCTGGAATCTTGAGCGAGGTGACTGCTCTATCATTGCAGTGTAGGGTCTCTTGCCAGTTTTGTAATAGAATCCCAGAGTACTGCCACTGGTTCCTCTCTCTCTCTCTCTCTCTCTCTCTTCTCTCTCTCTCAGTACCTTCTCCCTTGACTAACTACATTCCTGTTTCCTTGATTCTTTCTCTTCTTCTTTATTTCCTTTCTTTATCTCCCCCCCCCCCATCCACCCAAACTCACTGATCTGCCGTGGTGACTCTTTCAGGGCCCGTGTGCTGATGTACACGGTTGTTTTCTTGCCGGTGTCTGGTGTGAGCGCACGTTTGAGCCTGCCTGCCTGACACTGCGCTCATTTCCTGTTCTCATGTGTGGAGAGAGGCTTCAGACCACAGCAACGGCAGGGCAAAGAGACACACATGGGACTTAGGAGGGAACGGAAGGTGACTACAGCCCAAGCAGGTTCTATCCGCTTGCGTTTCCCAGTCTTTCCTATTGACTAATTCTTAAACGGCATAATTGGTAACCAGAGCAATTATTTCAATATTATAAAATACGGTGAGGGGATCTGTGACAGTGTTAGTAAGTAATGGAGAGCCTCCGTGCGTCTATTTTTATATGTTACTAGTGTTCTGGAAGGACTTTACAAGCCTTTCATGGAATCCAGTAAACAGTTAAAGTGAAGGATGTCCTCAAGTCAAAGAGCAATTTTAAATGGTGACTGACTTATTAAAAATGCATCCCATTTCCACAGAAACATGTCATATACGACAAAAGCAACAGCCCCGTTTTCCATGCGAATGGTTTCTTCCCATTCTGATGTAGGCTTACGCCACAGGTCCATTCCCTGAACTGCACAGAGAGACCAACAGACAGTGTAAAACATTACATTTGACTCACAGTTTCAGCACGATTGAAAAAAATAAACCTACCATAAAGAGCAAGGAACTGGAAAAAACAGTCAAGCACTCACTATGGATTTATCTACCCGCGTTGCGACACTTGAGAGATACTGCTGATGTGACTTGGTTTCAGACAACACAATACATTAAGCCTCAAACCAGAAGGGTTTTAAGTATTACAACATATTAAAAATATAGTGATATAGGAGTCATGCAAATAGATCTTCAAATGTTGATTGGTTTGCCAGACGCTTAGTGGGATTCCTGTTACAAAATATTACCAGTTGCCATGGGTGAGGGATCTAAAATCTATTATTAACTCATACTCCAACATACTCATAGTCAGGCTCAGAGTCGCTCACCAGTCAGGAGTGCCGGACTGAGGACCTCGTTCCACTCACACACAGCAAGACAGATGTGCAAAACACAACTATTCCTAAATTTGAACTGATGCACAAAATAATGTGGGGCCAAGTCTGGCTGGAAGTTTGTCCCAAAGGGAGTCATGTGATAACACGTACATCAGGTGTGAAACATCAGGAAGATAATGAGGAGTGTCATTGTGCCATTCTACACTGGGAGGGTCAGCTTTGTAGTCACCTTTTCCCCTCTTAATTTCATGCTTTTTAGGAGAAAAGGAGTACATTTTGTACATATATTTGTAAGCAGGAAGTTGGAATGTGTCAGACTGGGGCAGAGGTAGCCTCTTTCTGTAATATTCTTTAAAAGTGTGACCCATGGCCCTGAACTTGATATGCTGTTGTAAATCGGATTGTGGATTTTCTAATATCCCATAAAGAATGTAATTATACAGTTCACGCGGGACACAAGACACGGTGAGGTGAACACAACATGCCTGCCCATTCATAATATGACAGTAAATTCTCACAGATGTGGCATTGTGGCTGTGAAGTGCTGCTGTCACTGTGACCCCTTAAGATGCAACATTCTTTTTTTCTTGCATCCTGTAAGGACCAGGTAAGTCAAACCAGAACATAATTTGAAAAACGATGGAGAAGAAGACGGAGGAAATTGTCTGTTTTGTGCTGACGTTGAGAAATTCTGCCTTTAGGTCTTCTCTTACCAGGTCACCAGTAATTTCATTTTAGGTTGTGAATTTAGTACATTTTGGTTTTTAACCCAAGTTTTAACAGCATATATCAATATTATACTAAACACACACACACAAACACACATAGACCTGTACTCATATCTTTTTTGGGACCGCCCATTCATTTCTGTGAACATTACCCTAATCCGAACAATGACGACCTTAACCCCTACCCAGCCCTAACCTTAACCATAAATAACCAAATACAAGACTTTTGACATTAGTAATTTTTGATTGCATTCACAGATTTTTATAAAATTGAGGTTATCCTTGTGGAGACTGAAAAATGTCCACATGTCATCAGAATAACAGGGTTGTCATTATGTAGTGGACACACATACATACACTGACCTAAAGGATTATTAGGAACACCATACTAATATGGTGTTTGACCCCCTTTCGCCTTCAGAACTGCTTTAATTCTACGTGGCATTGATTCAACAAGGTGCTGAAATCATTCTTTAGAAATGTTGGCCCATATTGATAGGATAGCATCTTGCAGTTGATGGAGATTTGTGGGATGCACATCCAGG